AAGTAAAATATGACGTCACGGAAACATTTGAAACAAACAGAATAAATTAGGAAACGATTTATCTTCAGTCTAGCCTATCTGGCGATGTCTGTAGAGTTGCATATACCGAGCAAACATTACGTTTCTCGTCCAAATATGGTATTATTAAATTTTAATGAGCCCACATTTGAACACCCCAGTATAAAGTAAACGAGTCGTAAAGGTGCCCTCTGGCGGATCCAAAATCTAGTTCAACACCTCAAGTGCAGGAGGAATACGTTGTCCCCCTCCTATTCTTGATAGATTGTTTAGCCACCACAGTCCACCAAAGCACCTTACAAACCTAGAATCTCTATAAGACGATAGTAAACAACATTTTTTTGATTAAATTAGGTTATAATAAATGTTCATTATTCATGAACTACACAATAATAAAAAACAATATACAAACTCCCCATTTTATCTTTCCTCTAGCTACACAAACAAAATCTACACGTGTTTCCCTCAATCAAAACCACCTCCTCGTGCTAACAAAATCAGGTATACTATAAGCAGCACTGCCTACTTCTTTTACACACTCAACCATTTACAGCGCACTTTACGATCAGTAGTGACTGACCTAAGATTTAAGTGGCCATTTTAAAGTGCGTGGCACCGTTTTAACCATCTGAATAACATATAAATGTATATAATTACTGCAATTTTTTACTGACTTTAGCCGTTATCACCATAAGGTCATGTGATGTGGTGGCCTCGTCGAACCCTATCTGCGTCTACTAATAAGCCTACAGTTGTATTTATACAAGTTTGACGTTAGCAAAACTCAATAGGTTACATCAAGAGCAAACTTCGTAAGGCGTAACGAACGCTGTACTACTATATAGTTGTATTTTATATTAATGACAAAGATACTAAGGCTGTCTGTAGCGTTCTCTAATTTTGAACTATTCACCAAACGAAAAGCAGCCAGTTAATAACACCCCCAGCCACGCTAAGGGATGACTGTCACTCTTATAGCGCATCCAGAACCTTCAGTGCGGGGAATATTTGTACAAGTATGAAGTTAGGAAAACGTAATGATCCACACCAGTATAAACGTAATGAGTCCATAGTTGTACTGTATAGTTATGCAGACAGAAAGTGATAATAAAAACACGTTAGGCCAGGAAAGGACAGGTGGTTAGGGCGCTCGACTCGTAATTTGCGATTCGCGGGTTCGAATCCCCGTCACACCAAACATGCTCGCCCTTTCAGCCGAATGGGCAATATAATGTGACGGTCAATCCCACTATTCGTTCGT